TTCACGATTTTTAGAGGGAATATTATCTTAGTGATGGGCATTGTCGAGGCCAAAAATGGGCTTCGTGGGGCGTTCTTACGTGACTGGAGCTGACCTTTTGTGTTTGGGTTTTTGTTGTACTCTAAATAACTCGAGAATCCATTTAGAAAATGCATTTTAAAAAAGCGGTTGGCTCTGCGCCTCAGGTAGATATATGTAAAAGACAACAGCCTGTGTGCCCAGTACTTTAAATAACGTACCGACTATAAAAGTTACTCAAGCAACAGTAAACTTCAAGATTTTTAAGAACGATCAGATGTTTTAGGTATTTAGTACCTTTCGTCGGTGGCTCAACGAGATCTGTACTGAAATGGTAGTATCCAAAAACTACGAATCGATATTTGGATTAGGCATGGACAAATGTTTCGGCAATTTATCAAATCTAACAGTTTTTATAAGATATAGCAACCACACATCGACCCACCTTCTCTCAGTCCTGTGCAATCAGGAAATAGCGAGGTCCAGTCGATGGCACTTATATTAAATTTGTACTCTAGTTAATCATTTACAGACTGACACGATGCTGTAATAGCCTACCCGGCCAGAGGGTAGGTATTAATTATTTTATAATCAATGCCTCTGACGAAGCATTCTGAACTGCATAGAACCTGGTTTTACTGGACAAACATGTAGGAAACAAAGAGAACTGTGCGTGAAGCTTGCTAAGAAGTCGGACCCTGCTGCGCTCCCCCCAAGACGTTGTTTTTCAGTGTGTTTTGAGTTGTTGGTGCATGTTATGCTCAACATTAATTAAATTACTATAAGTTGATTTTAGTTCCTCAGAAACAGGAACACCATACTTGCAGGATAGAGGAACATGTTTTATTTCAGTCAGAAACAAATCTTGTCTAGTCTAATTACTGGACTAGGCATACCACATAAAAGGGAACATATCACATATTAGATCATACAAATCGATTAGATAAAATATCGCAGTAAAGGCAATATATTGCTGCTTTTTGTGTAGTTGGAGGAAAACCATGCATAGTACTGTTGTCAAAAATTACTCCTGCAAGCTTCGCAATTGCCCGCCTCAGGTATCTATTTTTGCAAAACTTATCTTTGCAAAAATAAAACATAAAAAATGCAAAGGGTATGTACTGACTTGTCAGGTATGTACTGACTTGTCTGGGGTGCGGGGGCATGAAACTTTGGAATGTATCAAGAGAACCGTGCATATCTATTGTAAACGTCATTGACCATACTTTGATTTAAATATTCTAACTGCTAATCATCTAAGTCAAACTAAGTCAATCATATTCATTTCATACTTCACGATGGTCAGATTTGGGCCCAAAAGTCCCACTCCCCTACTATGGAGATCGAATCCCCCGAACCCGCGAATCATGTTCGATATGACGTCATTCGAATAGAGCGGGCGTTCGATCCGGGGTTACCCGCGGTCATTTACAGTAAAGCCGCTACAACCGGCTACTTCAAGCCCTTTTTTACTTGGGAACCACGGAACAGGAAAAATCCACCTTTCCACAAATATGAACCGTTTTCAAAACATTACATCTATGCCGTGATTTTATTGTGGATATGTAACATGTAACGAAGCTACTGCCGTCATCGTGGGTGACCTTGAAGGTCAGAATTCTTGTTGACGCTGTTATAAAATCCAGGTCCCCATATCCAATTCGCTCAGCATGCGTGCAAACATGGTATTTTAACCATTCCCAAAAATCACTCAAATTACCTCATTGAGGTCTTGTTTGGAAGAGGAACGATTTCCGCAGATTTCTGTCTTAGGGATTTTTTAAATATGGCCGCGATTATGAATTATCGGTATTTAAAGTTAAAACACTGCGTTTTTAGCTCTTCTTTTGACTGTAAGTCGAGTTTTAGTTAAAAAATAAAAAAATCCTAAGACAGAAAGTTTAGATTTACTGTAATATTTCTAAAAATCCAAAAATCTAACCTTATTTTTAATTTTCGGGGCCTCTTAAAATCAGTTGTTTGGTTCTCGTGAACCCTTTTTGAAATCCGAAATTGATCTCATTTGGAAGCAAATGTACACAAAGTGGAGCAAAGGCAGTGCAAGAATAACATTTGAGGTAAACAAAATCACTTATTACATTTTATTTTGACGAGTATTTACTCTCCAATTACTTTTGTTTATTTTCAAATTTTACCCGTTGCCCCCGGGCCGGCCCGGGACTCCCGCGCGGCCACGTTCGAACGCGTTCTGTAACCCGATACCTCCTTAGTAATGCGACTTTTAGCCTAGCAACCGACCGCCGTGCTTAATTCTTACATTTTAAAACATATCATATTATACGTCTGTGATCTATGATAAGTTAGTTCTCGAGTTAATAATAATTTACTTAGATGTAACTTAATAATACTAGCCTCTGGTGCAAGCAAAGACACTCGTACATCAAAAGAATGTACATAATGAGCTGTTGCTAAAACCTGCCCTAGTTCATACATGTCAATCATTTCATGTAGAGAAAGTGGTCTATTTTCAAAAGAGGACCTGCTTTAAGGAAATGAAAGTGTTTTACTATGTGCTTTTAAATTGATCTATCATCTTCGATGTTTTCGGCCTTTTTGCTTGAGCACATTAGATCATGAAAGGAGACTTTTCATCTCTCTTAATTTTAGTTCCTCAGAAACAGGAACACCATACTTGCAGGATAGAGGAACATGTTTCATTTCATTCAGAAACCAGTCTTGTCTAATTACTGGACCACACATACCACATAAAAGGGAACATATCACATATTAGATCATACGAATCGATTAGATAAAATATCGCAGTAAAGGGCAATATATGACCGTTTTTGTGTAGTTGGAGGGAAACCATGCATAGTATTGTTGTCAAAAATGATACCGCTTTAAGGGGGCTCTGCATGGGGGGGGGGTGAGGATACTTTAATTAATCCAATGCTTGCATAATGACAATATCCAGTAATTTAGGCCTGAATTTTTATAAATGTATCAAGGAATAGTCGATAATGGTATAGTTAATGATGGAGAATTTAAATTGTAACCCGACTCTTAGTGGTCTGGGATTTTTATTTGGTAAAAATTTACTGCTGATTTTTTATTAGATGATGGACTGCATGGAAACCCGGTTTTACTGGATAAACATGTAGGTAAAAAAGATAACTGTGCGTGAAGCTTGCTAAGAAGTCGGACCCTGCTGCGCTCCCCCCAAGACGTTGTTTTTCAGTGTGTTTTGAGTTGTTGGTGCATGTTATGCTTAACATTAATTAAATTACTATAGGTTGAATCTGAAAACGAGTAGAGAATTAATTTTTTGGAATATGTTGTTTGTAACGTTATAGTGGTAACGCTATACTGATGAAGTAACGTTACAAACCACATGTTCCATGTTGAAAAGAATACTGATTCTTCATTCTCTATTTGTTGTCAGATTCGGCCCATAGTAATTTAATTAATGTTGAGCAAGGAAATGCTTTAGGCGTCACCTGATGCAAATGTTGGTGTTTATCTCAGCATCTCACAAGTGACATTTGTTGCATAAAGAACAAGAATAATAGGACAGATTAGTTTTACACACACTGGCTGCGACCCCCGCAGAGCGCCACACTTTTCAACCCAAAGTTGTGGCCCTCCACCACCTAAAATTGCCACTCTTGGTATATGCTACACATTTGCATGGATGAAAGGATTGGTTGATATGATATGATTTTAGGTATTGCGCTAGGGTCCCCTGTACTGTAATGTCGAGTCTAACCAATTCTCAGAGATGACTTCTTAAAGATTGGTTCAGCGAAGTTATTTTTTCAGGGCTTTGCCTCATTACTATTTGGGTTTCACAGTGTTTTAAATGATATCAGTAGTTAAATTAACATAGATATGGGAACACAGTGTAGTCTGGATGCCAGATGTGTGTGCCGTCTGTCATATACTGATCGCGATAATTTTATATGGCTCCGTGCCATTTTGAGGTAAAGGAATTTCAAACCTCGAAACCGTATTTTAAAGTGAAGTGAACGTGACCATCATTAGGGCTTTATTTGCATAATTAAGGATGAAATGCTAGAAATAATGTCATGCTTTGTTAAATATGTCTTTTAGTGGGGAATATGATCAACTGATATGTCATGCAAATGAGAATCCTATTCTAACTAGAAAGGCCAATATTTGCTTTGGAGCAAATATAGCGATGGGTTCACCACATTTTACGACATGGCAGGGAAAGAATGAGAAACACAAGGGAAAACAATGATTTACATTGATATAACTATAATATGAAGTAACATACAACTAAAACAACAGTTGGATAGCTATTCCCTACTTTATTGGTTAGGATTTTTAATTGCATAATGCAAACTGTTGATTTTCAAAAAAAAAAAAAAAAACGTTCATGCCCCACATTCCAATGCTGGAGCAGAAAAGCTTGAAATACCTACCAAATAACTTGAATAAAGACATACTGTCAGTATGGAAATGCTCTGTGCAGGTGTTAATCAAGTTAAATCCCAACAGCCAATCAGCAAGAAATGCTCTGTGCAGGTGGAAATGCTCTGTGCAGGTGTTAATCAAGTTAAATCCCAACAGCCAATCAGCAAGAAGTATAGAGGAAAGCTGCATGCCTATTGGTTGATGCCCTGCATTCCATTGTGATGACTCATGCCCAAACGTGGTAAACAAGGCACACTAACACAGTAATACATTTGCTTAACACAGCCAAAAAACTCAAATAAAACCATTCTAAAAGCCTGTATCACAATAATTTAAAAAACGCCTAGGGGTATTTGCCCACTGTACCTCCATACCAAATTTCAGGACCTTGGGCCTAAAATGAAGAAGCTGAATCCATTTAAAAAATGGCAGGAGAAGGAGAAGGAGGAGAAGGAGGAGAAGAAACATCAGAAAAAGCAATATGGGTTCACCACCACTTCGTGGTGTGGTGAACCCATAATAATCAGGGGGAACCATCTATAATTCGTCAGCCATAAAGGTAAACATTATTCGGCGAAGGTGAATGTGCTCTTTGGACTTGACTTCTTCTGATGTGCAACGTGACGGTGGTGTTTGCTCGACGGAATAATGTTAACTTGGTGTCCTGGTTAGGCTCTAAAGAGTGGTGGGACTTGCAGGTAGGTACTGGTCTGTGTGTGGGCTTCCTGTGCTCTTCCTTCGTCTCACTGTTGAAGAAAGAGACATTTTGTTACAGACTAACGAGGCAGTAAAAAGAAGTCATTAAGGTCATGGAGCATTCTGCTGCATAAAATTGAATATGGCTTACTATGTCACATGTTCATAGTGAATTTCGTCATTGTTTCTTCAAACATTTATCACATGAGCCAAATATGTATCTTTTGGGGCAGAAATAACTTAATACCATGTACTGATTATCATACATTTTAAAAGCTCTTGAATACTACCGCGTGTTGTCCCTTGACATGGTATGAAAACTTGGTCTTTGCCATGGATTAGCAGGGGCATTTGTTGTAAAAACATTTGAGGGCGGATAACCAGTCGGCGGATTGTAATTATTTTGGGTATGTAGGTAGCTTAAGTGATGCTTGACAAAACTTGATGACAATTTTGCAAATCTAGATCCAATTTGCATAATTAGTGAGGTCAATATATTAATTCTATTATAGAATTACTATAGATTCCTGTATATCTTATAAGGTCCGTACTTGGAAACTCCAAGAATCAGATGAACACACCAGATCCCGACTACTATGCTTTATTTCCAGCCCCTCACCAGGGCCGCCACTTCTTAGAATTCCAAAGTCCAAGCCAAAGTTTATTAATACCTGATATTTGTACTGAGGGCAATTTTAGTATACAGATAGGTGAGCCTAAGCAAATGTAAACATTCTTTTTCCTGAGAAATGTTGCCTTGTTGGAGCTGGATGTTACAGGTAAGGGTTATTGGATTTCTTTTTTTGTCATAAAAACAGACTTTCAGCCATGATTGGGATGTCCTGTACACATAAGAATATTTATGTTTCCATGCACTGTTATGCTGTCCATGGGGGCAAAGATCGTCTTCCCGTGTAAACACCGTGTAAACACCGTGTAAACACCGTGTAAACAATGATTAATAACGACGTTTAGCTGTATAGAAAATTAAAACTTATAGGCTAAATTGACAATTTACAACAGGGGACATGGGCTGGACACCATGTGAAATAAGACAGCAGGGGTCTGTAATCGCTTTATGGAATAGACTAATCAATATGTCAAATGATAGAATTACAAAACAAGTATTTTTATGGGACTTTCAAAACCATGGCCCCTGGAGTAGAAATGTTCAGGATATATTCTGTAAAGTTGAGCAAGAACATGTTTATTTTAACACATTGAGGGGTGACATTAGGCAAATTAAAGGGAAGCTTTTTGATGTATACAAGCAAGACTGGGCAACCAAAGTACATTTGAAACCTAAACTTAGAACATATGCTCTGTTTAAAGATACTTACTGTATAGAAAAATATGTAACTATGTGTCTCCCCCAAACGCCAAAGATCACTGTGTGCCCAGCTGCGAGCTGGTATTTTACCTATCAATATTGAAACTGGACGGTACCAGGGAATTCCTGAGGAAAATAGAATCTGTACCATGTGTGACCTGGATGAAGTAGAAAACGAAACACATTTTCTTTTTACTGTCCCTTTTATGACGATCTTCGAGAAAATATGTTTCGTAAAATTTATACAAAATCACCTGACATCATATGGGAAAGAGATGAAAATAGAATTAAGTGGCTCTTTAACGAGGGTGTATCTGACCTAGCAACTTTCATTTATCGAGCGTGGGGGAAAAGAAGAAAATACCTGTATTCATAACACATCAACAGTTGTCACTTTTTGTTACTTCTGCACGTTTGTTTTCTCGTATTATGTTTGATTTAACTTATGTACCTGTATTTATTTTATGAACTCTTTGTTCATTATGTACAGATTTGTTTATTTGTATTTACGATCTGCTATGAGTTCACTTATTTGTTCACCATTATTGTATATAGCCTACCTTTATTTGTGTTCATATTTTGTTTGGATTCTGTTATCTGTACCTTTGATCGTCTTTTGTTTATGTATAATTTATTGAATCGGTGTCGTATAAGCCCACACGGGCTGGGAGCGGGATAGCGCACGACACGGAAATAAAGCATCATTCATTCATTCATTCATTCATTCATTCATTCATTCATTTATTGTAGTTATCATTGAAAGTTGGATGGCAAAATGGTAACTGTCTGGCCAATTTAGATCTGTCTTTGCAGCCAGCTAAATATCTGCTTGGAGAGTAAAAATTTTGCCTAATAAGTTGTAACCGGAGAAACGTCCAAAATTTCAGAGTAAAGGGTATGACATCGCCCTTAGGTCACTTTAGGACACTCGATTGAGCGTCCAAAGTCCAAACTCCGTTTACCATGTGTTGACCCTTCCCCTCTTAGATAAACTTTTCCCCTTCTGTCGGACAGAGAAACTGCGTAGTGACCAGTGTGTGAGTGAAGTGATCACCATTATGGACGCCTACCCTGAGGTCTACACCACAGCTCCCGTCCAGCCCAAAGAAAAGAAGCCTGGGCAACTGACCAATGAACAGATTAAGCAGTATTTCGATGAGGTGAGTTCCAGACGATAAAGTTACTCAAGCAACAGGATACATTTTGAAGAATGTCAGTTCACAAAATCTATGCCGTTGCTTCAGAAACTGTATTCTTGTTTTGTCTCTTTTTTTGCGTTGACGTAGATGAAGAACGCTATTTATGACTGCCGATTGCGTGGAACATGTATAAAATAGGTACAGAATGGTGTACAGAAGAGGTGCAGGCACTGGTAATTAAAACGGTTTCGCTACGTAGTGCCAGACAAAAACTATAGTCTTCAAAAATTACAGAAACATGATAAAAGTTAACAGTATGTTTATTCAGATGCAATAACCCGTGCTTCATGAACTTGAACCAAACATTGTGCTGATTTCAACGTTCTTAAAATCTTTCCAGACTGAGTGCTAAATTGTGTCTATGAGGTACACATAACACGTTTTAGATACATGATAATTAAAAAAAAAAGCGTTGGTCTATTTTCTTATACGTACGTATACATCGTTGTTACGGTACTATACCTGGAAAACGGTACTCAGTACTAATACAGAAGTATACATCATTACATTTACAAGGTGTGTGTCGACAGTCATCATATTGGAATCTTTTTGCATCCTTGTGTTCTCCATAATAAATAAACAGTACTAAAACTTTGGTTTTCGCTTTCTACATTTTTCACCTTAAGCCCCTGTCACCCATATCCGAATATGACCTCCCAAACACTGGCCAACCCCCCCAAACCCTCATCCATAGTTGTGAGTTGGTCGGAAACTAGGCCGACTGTGTTTGGTTGGTGTTCGGCTGCAAAATGTTTTAAAATGTTTGAAACATTCGTGTGTGGACGGGGGCTTCGGCCACGAGCTACATGGTGGCCCGCTGATGTTCAGGATTAGGTAAGCAGTGTTGTGGGAGGTCATATTTTACTCAAATTTAACTCAAATTCGAGGTACGCGTTGGCTAAATCTGGTCAGACTGCTGCCGAAATTCAGCTGTGGCTGTCCTTGGTTGGATGTCCTTGGGCAAGGTCAGGGGAAGGGCCTAAATTCGTGACAAGGGAGAGTCGGCCTAGGCTGACCTTGTACTTTGTACCCATGCATGGGCTAAACGATATACAGACAATGGGACTACTTAAACACAGTTAATGCTGTATTCTAGTTTCGGATACAAATTATATATATATATATATATATATATATATATATATAATATATATATATATT